CAGGCATATACATCTAATGTAAGTTGTGAAAGCGACGCAGGAATCCACAATCGGAGCCGCCTTCTTCACACAGGTTTTGTCTCTAAACGAAGCCACCATTAAGTTTGACATATGGGACACGGCAGGACAGGAGAGGTATCATAGCTTGGCTCCTATGTACTATCGTGGTGCCGCAGCTGCAGTCGTGGTCTACGATATTACAAGCTCGGTAGCTTCCTGTCAAACCTCTTTAATATTATCTTTAGAGCATGTTTATTCGGTCGTGATTAAGCATATATCTCTTAGTAATTGATGTCAACTTATGAATTCCAACAGCAACTCATTGTATATGGTCTACATACTCTTATCTGCAGATGTTGTTATACGAAACTTACCATGCCTTGGCTTACAGTTCATTTGAAGTTTCTTTCTTTTATTGCTAGCATCACTGTTCATTCTTTCTTTGTAATTGGAGGCCCTTATGATCAAATGATGGTTGGTATTTCAGGAGTCCTTTGAGCGTGCAAAAAAATGGGTTCAGGAACTGCAAAGACGAGGTAATTGACAAAGAATATAAACATCTTAAATTCTCAGATAGTTTGAATTTGAGCTTAGAACTAATAATTCAAGCATGTTTCGTATTCTTAACATGTTTGATTCGTATTACACTGGTTCAGGAAATCTGATTTTGATAACGTTCTTGGTAGCAAACAAGGTTGACTTGGAAGAGAAGAGAAAAGTGGGAAATGAGGTATATGCAATCCGATATTCGTTTCGATTATCTATTTCTCGTTCTGCAACTCGAAAAGATTGCAGGTTAAGCTGATTTTTTCTATGCTAGGATATCGCAAAATTGGCTTGATGTTGCACATAATTGCATACTTCTATATCAAAGACAATATCAGGAAAATATGAACTATACTGTGTTATATATGTTACTAATGCTACATGGTAGGAAGGGCATATTATCATTGCACTGAACATGGATGAGGGGAACATTAAAACTGAAAAAAAAAAAGTTGAATGTGTAACACCTTTATCCCGTATATTATCCCGTATACAAGGCAGAAGTGTCACAACAATCGTATAAAACATATATTGTTCGAAAATCGGTAAAATTTTGTTTTATATAAAAACGACATTAAAATAAGTAATTGCATTTAAAACTATAGTATAAAATATTTAAAATACTATTCTTTTATCATATGCTCAAAAAAGAGTTCAGGCTTATTTGAAAAATAAAAATATATACATGCCAACTATGAATATAAAAAACATCAGATAGATGTCATATTGATTATGAATGTTTGAACTGATCTGCCAAAATGTAGGATGTCATGCCTGACTCCCTACTCTACTGGCGTCAATTTTCCTATGTGTGAACCAATCACAATCTAAGAAATCTGCTTATTTATAAACCCAAAATATAATTTTTGAAAATCTATATTTTTAGTCCCTAAACTTTTACAACTTTATACTTTGGTCCCTAAACTTTCAGAAATTACATTCCAATCACTAGTCCAAAATTTGTGTATTACATAATGTTCCCTGCATATGATTAAATCAATGGTAATGTCTTATACAGGAAGGTGAGCTATATGCCAAAGAAAATGGCATGAGTTTCCTCGAAACATCCGCAAAGACTGCACAGAATGTCAACGAACTCTTTTACGAAATAGGTAACGATACCGTGTTTCACAAGTCGTTTCCTTCCTATATGATGTCAGTTTTCAGGCATCCTCTTTAACTTTCTTACGCTCACACACTCTCTTGCAGCTAAGGGGATTGCAAAAGCTGTTCCTTCACGTACGACCGGAATAAAATTACATATCCGGACGCAAGATAGCAGAAGACGGCTCTTCTGTTGCTCCTGATGACATGAAGGTTTGCTGTATACATGTATGTTATTTGTATTGTTTTAGACCTCATTAATTGACAGGTTGAGAAATCATTGCAGGTCGTTGAAACCGATGGTTATGCTGTTATCTAGAATTTGCTTCGATGAATATCGGCTGTATGTACACTGTCGAAACACAAAACACCTTTAGTCTCTCTCTTTTTTCAACTTTATTGTCAATTTCAAGTGTGCTGTCGTTTTGTGTTAGGAGATGAACATAGAACTCCGAATAAATAAAGGTTCACTGCAAAGAAATGACTGAATACTGATTTATTAGTCCTCATGTCCAATAATGTCTAGAAACATAGCCAATGCCTCAGAGGTAGGGCTGTAAACTAGCCGAGTCGAGCTCAAGTATTGTTGAACTCAACTCGACTTGAAAACTCGCGAGCCTAAAATTTTTAAACTCGACTCAAACTCGAAATCATGAACTGAAGCTAGTAAAACCTCGAAAAGGCTCAAAATGAAAAAAATCCTAAAGTTAACTCAATTGAAGCCTCGAACTAAAACTCGAACCTGAACCTTAAATACAAGAAAACCTCGTACTATATTTTTTTTAAAAATCAACACATATATATTATTAATAATTTGTTTTTTTAAAATAAAATCTTAATATATCGTATTTTCAAGTTGTTCACGAGCTTTTCGAGTCAAGTATCATGTAACTCGTTTCGTCTCGTTAAGAACTCGATTCGAGCTCGAACTCGAGTATTTATCAAGCTTTGATCAAGTTGATCTCAAGTAACTCGCGATCTATCTCGTCTCATTTACAACTCTACTCGGAAGCTACTCTGTTCAATAACTAGATCCGATATTAAATGTCAAGATTCATATCAACTTATAAGATATTATCAAATTCTATACGTTATATATCATGATTTTGTCCATAAAAATGTATATAAAAGTCGAAAATTGTATAAACATTTAGGTACACAACCGATCGGAAATTGATGGGTTGATACACAATCAATAAATGCTCACTAATATAAACTGGTTGGTGGGGCACAAGGTTCCAGTGGTGGATTGTTTTCTTTTTCTGTTCGAGGAGGGTTGTTTTTTCAATTCCACGTAGAAAGGCAAGGGGTGGCCACATAATTTAAGCTAGTTCAAACTTTCATAAACTGTAGCTTCTTTACCACATGGAACTCTTGGAAACCGACAAATCATGAATGTGGACAGAGCCTTGCTGGTGACAATTGTGTTTTGACATTTTATGCCATAGGAATCATCATTCAAGGATCAAGGCCCCTCAAAGATAGAAAGATTTGTCCTTTTTAAAAATTGTCAAAGTTTTTTCCTCTCCCAATGTCGCTTACCAGAATACACGAGAAAAAAAATAACCCATAAAGTTATGTTTTTTTTATTCCGTCGACAAACACCAACAACACAGCCAGCAAGCATATGAATCCAAGTAAGCATTTCTGTAAAGTAAACAAAAAACACAACGAGGAAGTAAGAATTTTAGTTAGCAGTGGCTCAGGCCATTGTTTGCCTGCCGATGAAAGGTTGTTAGAATTTAGAAAACAATAGAATACATGTTTATCTTCTTTTTTGCTACAGCCAGCTACCATCTACGTTACTATATTCACACACAAAAACCCTCTCAAAGCTCAGAGAAAATGATACAAAAATATCAAAATACAGGTTTTGGTTATGCCCTGGCTAGTTTTGAGTTTTGACAGAAACCCTAATCACCATGAAGAAAAAGTGCATGGAGAACCGGATGAAGAGGATGAAACACCATTGTTGCTATTGGAATCACTGCCTGAAGTGACTAATGAGCTAGCATCTCTAAGAGACACAGAACAAGCCTGAGCTGGGAGCTTCTTCATTGGGAGTGAGTAGAGTAGCTTAACATGACGAGAAGGCTCAAACGGAAGGCAATGAATTTGGAGTCTCAAACAGAGTATTTGGCTTGCTGCAACCAGCATCATTGTCGTAAACGGGATTCGATATGTAGACAAAACTGTCCTCACCATTCTCTTTACTGTTACTAGTACTTTTGGTGCCAACTTGAATTGAGATTTCGTGAACAGGGTTAGGGGAGGTCGAAAAGGAATTCGAAGGAGCTGTAGGAGGTAAGATACCAATTTGATGAGGGCTTGTGTTTGATTCTTGGGAATGAATTTCAAGAACTTGAGGATGCAAACCCGAATACTCTTCGAGCTTGTTTTGCTTGCAAGGGAATGCTGCAGGGAAAAGGAAGTTCCTTGGTGGATGAAGAACTCCTTGTGCGTAGAAACTCCTAAGGGAACTGGTTGATTGGTTTGGGTTATCTTTAGGAAAGGAAGAATCAGTGTTTGTAGAGGCAGAGGCAGCAGTTGTGTTGGTAACGGTAGGGCAGGAGGCAGAGATGGAGTTTTTAAGCTGCCGCCAGCAGAGCAATAGAGCTCGGCTATCAATACTAGGATTAGAGCTAATACAATAGCCAGGCTCACCACCATTATCAGTGTTGCATTCATGATTACCCTAGATGCCCCCTTCATTGTTTTTATTTTTCTTCTCTGCGTTTTCTTTTTTGGGAGAGAAGGTGTCAGAAAGGAACAATAACTAAAGGGAAAGAAAGCTTTCTTTTGGGGGAGAAACGGTAGGCGGAGGATTCTCGTGATACTTTGGACAAGTGGAATTGGGAATGTGTAAGCAACTCCTGTGTTCTTAGGGTGCTTTCTTTGTTGTCTTTTCTCTCTCGACATTCAAGTTCATTGAGGTCAATTTTAATTACCATAGCATAGTTTGATTCATAGGGCATCGCTCGGCTCTCAAGGTCTTGAAGCAGGTACAAGCCACAAAAGTAGCATTACCAATACGCCTAATTCAAATTTTTTTCCTGCTCAATTCTTCAGTCATTTGTGGTGGATGACAACATTTCAATATCAAAGTATAACCGCGGATTATCAGGAGCATATACATTTAGCATCAACGACGAAACCCATAGACAATCATGCTCCAAAAATGAGTTGCTGAGTTGCACTCAGATAATTTGCTCTGTGTACAAACTAGTGCAACTAACAGACCTACAATGTCTGAAGTTCTTTCCTCACTTGCAACTGATAATTTGCAGTATTGCAATCAAAATCTCAAACTTGAATTGCCAACATTGAATCTCATGTTCCCAATAAATTTGGAGTCCCAAAAAATAATGAACAAGAACAACGAAGAGTCGAAGATCGAGTATATTCATATCCGAAAGGCTAGTGGATTACAATACTCTAAATCGGGAACTCGGACCTAATTTCCCTATAGTAACCTAAGTAAGACAAAAAATCCCAATAAGATGCCTGCACAATCCCCTCGGCTTGAATATGGCGATACCACTAAACACCATACTCTAAAAATAGATGAATCTTATCCACTGCAGATATGAAGCAGTAGCATATAATCAAGAGGTAACCACCATTGGAATTTGGAAATTTAAAACATCAAAAATTGTAGTAGCAAAATACTAACTATTGTTTCTCAGGATTGCTTTTCGGGATTCTCGGGTTCTTCTTCCTTTTCAGTTTCTTCCTCCTCTTCCTCTTTCTTTTCTTCATCTTCTTCAGGAGGGTCATACGGCATTGGAAGCGGTAACGGTGTTTTCATAGGGCTGAATTGAGGAAATATGTCGGGTCTACGCCCAGGTTTTGGCCTCTCCCACTCCTGCCATGTAAACCGAGGCGCTCGTGTTCAATCATATTATCATAGAAAATAAATTACCAAACGAGAAAAACATAACATATTTATCAAAGAAACATGATTCTCCAAAGATTGAATTATCTAATCAGTATCCATCAATCAAACAAAACCCATCCCAACGAAATCCCACCGAGTATTTTATTCACAAAGCTAAACACAGATACATAAGACATCAGTTGCTTGGAATCTCCCTGTCCCGTTAGCTAGGCGATTAAAAACTACAATAGATGAATGAACAGAGAAGGAACTTACAATGGGAAAATCGAGGGGATTGCGTCGAGTCGATTTCTCCTCCTCGGGAGCCATACAAACCACCTGAAGCCTCTTTCTCATTGCCCGCCGATGACACTTAGTGACGGAGACGGAGACGACGAGGGAGCATCTGCAACTGCAACCGCAGCTCTTGGAAGTGGATTGTGCCGGCGCTAGGGCTTTGGAAGGTGGCTATACGGATAGACAGGTGAAAGATGCCATGGTTAGTTTCTTGGTGGTAATAGTTCCCCCAGAAAACAACAAAAAACAAAACAAAGAAGAAAAACAGAAGTTAAAAGGAGTACTAAGTTAACCGCCTTGTCAGCGACTCGTGCTCGTCCGGGTTGGGTCGGTCTGCACTCGACCCTAAATTCCCAGTGGCCATTTTAAATTCAACAGTCCGTCCCGAATGGGCTCAGATTATTGTATTAGATTTAACCAAATTCAACCAACAGAATGGAGTTGGTGGAGTTCATTAGGCTAAATTGGCCCAATACCATAGCCAGACTAATTATTTAGCCCAATATGACATTTGATATTTTATTTTGAAAATTTAGTTATTTATTATAATGATTTGCAACTTTTGACGTGGATATAACAAGGTTTAATAAAATATATATTTTATTATAACTCATCATTTCGACATCTCGTAAATCCCAAATTAATTTTGGAGATAGTCTAATATACTAATTTTTTTAGTCCACTGGTCTATTAGGACAATTTTGCCAGTTCATTCAGCCTTGGTGCTGACTCAAGCTATCATTAATTTTAGGATAAACTACGTGTTTAGTGCCTAAACTATTAGTTTTGGTTTTTTTTAATACATAAAATATCAATTTTTTCAAAACCATACTTAAAGTTTAGTTTTTGTTTCATTTTAGCACCCGTTTAAAATTTAACGTTCATTTTTTAGGAAAGTGAAAGTGAAAGTTAAAGGTATTAAAACATACCAAAACTGATAGTTTAGATACTAAATGCGTTAAATTTTTAACGGTGAGGTACAAAAATGAAACAAATACTAAATGTTTGGTATGATCTTAATTTTTTTTTGAAAGTTTAAGTATTAAAATAGACCAAAACTATTATTTTAAGTAAGCTTACCCTTTGATTCTATGATTTCTTCCTTGATGGTGAGGCGTTCTTCTAATACTCCAGGTATGTAACAGTTGTGAATCCATATAATATATATTTATATGTAGGGACGGATGCAGAAACTTACGTTAAGGGATGCGAACTTAAGAAGTTATATTAAAAATTTTAAGAGGTACAAAGTTATATCTATAAAAAAAACAAAAAATAATATAAAATAAGAAGGAATTTGAAAATTTTAGGGGGTACGATCGCACACCCAACACCCCTCGATCTATCCATGTTTATATGCATTGCTTCCCCATTAGCTATAACTAAAATGTGTAAAATTCATGCAGCTGACTATTATGATTTATTAACGATAAAACACTTTGTTTCTTTCTCATTTTAGTCTTGGTTATTTATGTCTTTTACCTTGTTTTGCGTTGTATTTCATTATTTGAATTATTCAAGAATTCAGGCTGCTTCGTTTTAGTGTACAGTGTCCTAGTAATACTTCTTCTCCAATATGAAATGTTTGGGAAAACCGATATTTTTTTTATTTCCTTTTGCTCTCTTTACAAGATTTCTCTAATTTTGATTTTTCTTTTCCCAGTTGATGATGGCATATATCGAAATAGAAAGCTTAATACTAAAATAAGTATCTAAATTATACTTAAATTTTCGAATAGATGTCTAAATAATTATAAAATATGTTACAAGCATTACTCATTATATATTTGGGTTGTCAATGACGTTAATTTCCCTATTAAGTGATATATGTCACAATCTGGTAATTTTTAAAAATTAAAATTACATATTTTAAAAAAAAACATAAACATTTGAAGTAACTCACAAACTTTGAAAACTTTCATTTCGACCTCTAAACCCACATCGGCCATCACCCTTTGTCGTTGATGAAGTTTCACCCGACCTCATCGCCCCTGACGACCAAAACCCCATGAATTTGTGATTGACTGATAACGAATCGATGTTTTATATCTCGCGAATCTTATGATGAAAATCGTGATCCCACGCCATCTTGACGATCAATTGACGATAACTACGACTGCGTATGACTAAGAGGATGGTAGAAACTACATCAGTGGCAATGATCGTGGTCGTATAGGATTGCGGCTTGCTGGTAAAGGATAAGATTTGGGAATATTAGGTATTTTGGAGTTTTTTTATAATTTAAGAGAAATTAGTTTTTTTTATAGAAATAACAATATTTAAAAAACATAAATTCCAAAATCACCAGATTGTGAAACGTATCACTTAATAGAAAAAATGAACGTCATTGATAGTCCGAGCACCAAATACGTAACATTTATAAAATTAAACACCGAAATAGGTCAAAAAAATAATTTAATCACCTATTCTACGATTTATGTATAGTTTGCACGCTTATTTGAGTATTAAGCCAATTAGGAACCGGCAGAAACAAGCCCGACAGGAGACAGATAATTTATGAATGTTTATCGGCTTATTGCCACACAACCGGGATACCAAAAATTAACGGTAAAATTTGTGTCGACCCAACACCTGGCCTTTGAGCTGTTTACTAGAAAATTATATATTCCGATGGGAGCAAATCTTCAGAAGAATAAACGAAAAAATATTATTATAATACAAAAATATTTTTTAATTAATTAATTTAGTATGATGAATAATTAAATTCTTTAGATAAATTGTAAGTTTTGTTTTACGAATAACATAAAGAAAAATAATTTTTAAAAATCATCTTATAATAAAATTTTATAGTAAATGGATGTCCCTTGTTCCCATATGTAATGGGGTAAGGGAGAGATAAGATAGTAGGCTACCCCCAACACTAAGTTGAGAGTAACTTCCGTAGAAAACCTCCGAATTATAAAATATCCTCCATGGGACTCGATCCCACAACCTCAAGGTTAAGAATTTTATACTCTACCAACTGAGCTGGATGGTCATTTCATAATAAAATTCTATAGTATTTTATGCAAATTAAATAAGCAATAAAAATAATAATGATGAATAGACCCTGAAATTAATTGGTAGAAGCCCTTTAAAAGTCGGTTGTAATTTTTTTTTATTAAACTATGATGTATATAAGTGGTAATATCTGTTTTAAAGAGTCTCAATTATTTGAAAATAAACCATCAAATACATTATAATTTTTAGTGTCTGAATATGAGACCTCTAGAGATAAAAATTGTTAGAGCGCAAGGCTCTTAACCTTGTGGTCGTGTGATCGAGTCCCACGGTGGACAATTCATAATTCTAACTGCCGGAGGTATTCCACGGAAGCTGCTCTCAACCTGGCATTGGAGACAGCCTACTACCTTATCTCTCCTCACCCCATTACCTATGAGAATAGGGTCAGCTATTTTTTTTAAATAATGAGATCTAAATTGTTAAACTCTTAACTTTATATGAGAAAACATATCATTGGGTCAAATAATTTTTGTTTATTTATTAACTATGTTTATTGTTTTATTTTACATTAAACAAAGTTAAAATATCTAAATAATTTTTTTAACTCAAACTATTGAACTAGAAATTAAAGATCCAATCGACTTCAAAGTACAGACGATTGGACAAAAGCACAAGATAACATAAACTACTACTAAAAAAATAAACTCATCTGGATTTATGAATCGTAATGATGATTATATTGTTTATTTGGACTTCAAGCTTGCTCATGCAATGTCAGGAATGGATCGAGGTATTGTCATATATTTTCGATTCTTTTATATTTTTTATTAATTTTTTTCTCTAAAATTAACCCTTAAATTTAAATTTATTCCCTAAATATAAAATTATACGTTCATTTATGATAGTAATGATTTTTCAACGCATCGCACTATTGTTTAAGCTGAAGTATAATTGTTTTATATTGACAGAAAAACTACTAACAATAACATATATAGTGAAAAGATACTAAAAATAAACAGACAACGACAAACAAAAGCTTATTTTATGGAGGTATATAAAAAAATGTGCTGTCCAAGGTCAAGGGCCTAGGTAGCTAGTACCTGTCAAATTAATTTAAATTTGTAGGCCTCGGACGTGAACAATGGGGAAGCAACATTATACACCAAATGTTTTTCAATCTTACAAGTAAAATAAAAAAAAATCAATGCCGTGTGTTATTAATTTAAATACAAATTTGCGGTCACCTTATGATTATATAATTATTCGTTAAAGTTAATCAAAATATTAAGCTATATTACTTTAGCATAAACCTTGTTTTTTGAAACCCGAAAACAGTTGTTATTGGACAATTCATTTATTCATTAAAATATTAAAATGTGTATCGGGTCCGGACGGTTTTTATATATATATAATAGTTAGATTAATTAAATTATTAAATTCAATAAAATTAAATTAATCAAAGTATAACATAACATGATGACATTGGACTCTAATTCGCTCACTGTTTGATTATCTTGCATGAAGCATGATAGGCGTCTTAATGCGTACCAAATAAAAAAAATACATTTCTAATAGTTATAATTGAATTTATAAAATCTGTTATGGGTTGGAATTTATTATATTGTACTATCGAATCCATTTGACTTGAGGACACGCGTACTACAGTTTTAGGCTCCCATGTCTTTTAGCAAAAAAATTGTTTGACCACGTCCCTAATTCTAAAGCTCAGAGGCACTAAACAATCTTGCTCACGCGCGTGTGTCGAGCCGCACTCAATGAGTCAAGCAAGCCTCCGAAAATATGTAAAACTAAAACCAATGTGGACGGAGACATGTAGCCAAAGATATGAATAGATGATAAAAGCCAAGCCAAAGATGAATAGATGAAAATATGTAAAACTAAAACCAATGTGGACCGAGACATGTAGCCAAAGATATCATGCAAACCCATCCCGATTCTAGCCACGGCACTTATATTTATATATTACGATTATTCTTCTACAATTCCGCCTCAAATCTTGAAAGAAGGAACCTCTGGGAATTAGGCTTTTCTATGTACAGATGGAGGAGGCTAACAGTTACGATATGGTGGCGCCTTTCGTCGTCAAAACTTACCAGATGGTTAACGATCCCATGACTAACGCAGTGGTCACTTGGGGTAAAGCTAACAACAGTTTCATGGTCATCGACTATTCTGTTTTCGCTCAGAGGATCTTGCCTCTTTACTTCAAGCACAGCAATTTTTCTAGCTTTGTTCGCCAGCTTAATAATTATGTAAGTACTTTAGATTTAATGTTTTTTTTACTATGATACGTTTTTCTTCTCGAGTTTTTTGTGTTTATGTATGCATGTACTGTTTGGTGATTTAG